TGCTGAGAGACCCTTCCTCTTGACATTGAGACCACCTCAGTACAGCAAACTGGCTGGCTGTCAGTTGGTTCCTTTTTCCTGTACTTGTAATAACTCAATACTCAATAAACATTTAAGTGCCTATTCTTTGCCAGGCATTGTGCTAAGTGCTGGGGGTACAGATTGTTGTCCTTTGTTTTCAAAGAGGACCAAAGACATCAGGAGGGTGATGTATTGACAAATACAAAAAAAAGAGTCCCTGACCTCAAAAAGCTTATGATCTAATGGAGGAATACAGCACATTGAAAGGAAAGCTGATAGAAATAGAGAGATGGTACCTGATGTCGGGTGGGGAGAATGGTGGAGAAGTTAGGAAATTCCCAAGGTAGGGGAGCCAGGTGGCAAGTGCAGAACTGTGTGTGCTGAGACCTCTCCTTAAATGGAGGTTTGAGAGTTCATGGCTCTTTCTGCCTTTCAGTCAAGGAACAGAGGTCAGTGATGAGCAAATGAGGACTAAGGCAGATTGGATCCTATAAGATGATGAGATTTTCCCAATGATGAGCTTCCTGGGGACATGGTAGAGAGGTCAGAGGAGTCCCAAAGTAATGCAGCCAAAAGATTGTTAAGAATCCAATGGGATAATATGTGTAAAGCACTCTGCAAATCTTCCAGTGCCCTGTAAATGGTAATTGTTATCTAATACTCAACAGTTCCAAAGTACTTTCCATACATTATCTCATGCACACTTCATCTTTACCCTGTGAAACAGGTAGCCTAAGCAGTTGTATCCCCATTTTAAAGTGAGGAAGTTGTAACCAAGAGAGGTTAAGGGCCTGCCTTTGGGTCACACCACTTATTAAATGTCCAAGTCCTGCCTAGAACCCAGGTCTTTAGATTGCAGATCTGATGTTCTTTTGGCCACACCACAGTCCTCTCAATGCCATGAGCTAAGACTTGGTGCTCAGGCACTAGTCGGATTGAATTGGAGGAGGTCTTGAACCACTGAAGTTTACAGTCGATCTAGTGGTTCTTGCCTCCCCCCTTCCCTTTCTCCCCTCCCCCTCAAGTAGGAAAGGCAGCCTGGTGTATTAGAGATGTGAACTAATACTTCCTATTGTAATTACAGTAGTAATACTGGGAGTTAAATTAGACCTCTCCCACTGATGCATATCTTAGCATAGCTTCAGAATTTCTGAATGAAGAAGAAAGACAATGAAGCATCTAATAGCTATAATCTATCAAAGGGGATGGGAAGGTAGGCATATTCCCAGCCAGTGTTGATGCATGGCGGTCTGCTTTCTACCTTTCTTCCTCACTTGGCCCTACCTTCACCCTATTTTTTGCCATCAATCACTTAGTCCGCGCCTAAACCCTGAAACAGCAATGTTGGCTGATCTGCCTAGCGAGAGTACATTCTATGTGTAGGGGCAGTGATGGATTCTTTAATAAAGCAGTGAGTCAGGACCTGCTGAGGTGGACAACTAGATGATTTTGGTTTTTGGGTTTTTTTTTTTTTGGCTGAGCATTATCTATCTTGTGGGATGAGTGGACAGTTAGGAAAAAAAACACTCTCTAAGCAAAAAGACTTGAGTTGATTTGAGCTCACTTTTGCATAGGTCTTTTGCTCCACCTACCACGTTGTGTTTCCAGTTTCCCTGTACCTCGTTAGGAGTTGTAAGGAGTGCCAGAGCTGCTGTTAGCAAGGCCAACTTCAGTAGGACTATTTGGAGTTTGTTTTTTCCCCCCTTCTTAACAGGAGTGTTCTTTCAATTAATAGCTGTGGGAATTGAGCTTTCTTAACAGGGCTATGAAGTATTTGAAGAGAGCATTAGGGCATTTTTTTTGTTATAAAGTTTTTTTTAATGTTTTCTGTTTCCTTTCAGAATTTCTCTTGGTGCCAAATTCTCTTCCACTGTAAGAAGCAATGAAGTAAAAATCCTATAGTACTGTGGCATTTAAACAAAACACACAGTAACTTGAGGGGAAAAGCTGCTTTTTGGATGCCAGTATTTCTTTTAATTTCAAATACATACATTTGAAAGTCAAGTATAGTAATTTGGTTTCAAAGGGAAGCTGCTAGCAACTAGCAGCAGTCTGAGTTAATGAGAGCCATATGCTATGTCCCTTATGTATGGGTATTGTAGTCTTCAAGTAAATGTTCTAGGAAAGGAATCTTTGAATTTTGGAACAGATCACTCAAAAATATTATAGTAAACCTTCTGTTTCAAGAGCCAAGCAGTATTTATACATATAATTGGTGTTAATATATTAAATTAAGTTACAAACACAAGATATTTTCTGATGTTCTCTATCAAAGTTGTTCATTTAACTGTAACCACAGGCTGCTTGTGATTTTTCCCCCTAAGCCCAAGGGTATTTAAGATAAAACTTTAGTGAATTAGTAACTCTATCAGCAGCTTTGTTGGAGGAGGAGACAGGAAAGGAGGATGGGCGGTCTTTGTATTGCAACTGGACCCTTGGTATATTTTACAAACGTGTCTCCCAGTTTTCATGAATATGTAATCCATTTAAGAAATAGAAACAATGCTGTGAATAATTGTTACATCCTTCAGCTACGGACCCCAAAAGCTGTTTATAGTGTGCCTGAAATACTGTACATTTACAGTGAAAAGTGATAGAAAGCAATATTATTAGAATATTACAAATAGAAAGCAATAACATTTCATAAGAAATGGTTGAATTTGGTGAACATATACATCAGGGGGATTGATAAAAATCAAGTTCAATTAGAAGTACATGAGGAGATAGACCTTCCACTAGAATTCTGCTACCTTGCCTCATTCTGGTGTTAGGGTGACCCTGGATCCTAGAAAGCGCCCCCCCCCCATCAGAGCCTGGCTCTGACAAGTCCTGTCACAATGGAAAAAGGATGTTGAACAGTGTAGGTCCATTCAGAGACTCTAACCACCAGATTGGTCACATGGTGATGACTTTTTTTCAGGTTACAGTCCTCTGGAATCAAGGTTGGTTATTTATTGATCATTTCAGAGTTGTTTGTCTTTACAATATTGTTATCGTATAAATTGTTCTTCTGGTTCTGCTTACTTTACTCTGCATCAGTTCATACAAATTTTCTTAGGTTTCTCTGAAACCATTCCCTTCATCATTTCTTATACTCCAGTTGTGTTCTATCACATTCATATACCATTTCAACAGTTCTCTAGTAGATGGACACACTTACTTTCCATTTATTTACACGACAAAAGGAGATTCTATAAATATTTTTTGTATCTTTGGGCCCTTTTCCTCTTTCCTTGGTCTCTTTGTGAGGGTATTGCTAGGTCAGAGGATATGCACAGTTTAATAACTTTTGGTATATAGTTCCAAATTATTTTGAATAATGCCTACACCAAGTCACAGCTCCACCCATGGTCTCAGTACTTTTTTTAGGTTGCTGGTTATGATGATCTAAATTAATGATCTGGAAGGTCTTTTTCACTTTTTAAATCTGTGAGAGAAAGAAAATATGTTTACTTATTCAAATGATTATTCATTCCATATACTGAGTGCAATATTGACAGATGTATTCATGCTTTAGATTAACTGACATGTTTTCTTTATTAATCATAGGTCATAATTAATCCCCAATGTAGTAATTTCTATAAATACTTTTGTGCCATGGCGTTGTACCAATATTTATAGTCTCCAGTTTATTGCTTTGGAATAAACACATTTTAAAATAGAATGCTTAGTTAATTCAAACAGCTTTGTTGGGAAATGAACTAAACATGACAAAGTTGAGTTATGTTGACTGTTATCTGTCATTTTCAGTATTAATCATATACACATGTGCTACCCATCTCAAGAGCCTTGTTCTTTGCATTCTATGGTAATTCATCTAATTTAGGAGCATTGTTCCTAACTTTAGAGATGGCCTTCTTTTCGGGAGATTCTTTTGTTATGTATCTTTTTTCCTATTTATTTAGCAAAGATACCTTTGGATTTTTTTTTTTGATAAGTGTATACTATATTTTATAAAGAGACAAGAAGTCCTCAGATTGTAATGCTATGTACATCAGCATTACAAAGAAGGACACGTGAAGAAAGGAACAACAGGTTTTAGCAACATCTTGGTTAGGAGGGGTGAGTACAAGAGAGCGTGCAAGGATGGCAATCTGCTGGCCTGGAACAAGAAAGTTGGGAATGAGGGAGAGTCAGGGTAAAAGATAAGAAGTTCTGTTAGACAAAAGCAAAATGTATTTTAGGGCAACAATGAAGTATCCTTATATTTACATAGATCATCTCATCTTCATTTCATATCTGCACTATGGTGTCAGAATTATTTTATATGTTTGTGTTACTGCTCAAATTATATTGTTAAGTTGTATCATGATGAGTTGGCTTAAGAACCCAGGAGTTCTTAACCTGGTGTGGGTGAACTTATTTTAAAAAATATTTTGATAACTGTATTTCACTGGAATTGGTTTCCTTTGTCATTCTACATATTTTATGCTTTAAAAAAATTATTTGGAGAAGGGGATCTATAGGCTTTGCCTGATTGCTACAGGGATTGTTGAACCTCCCCCCCCCAAAAAAAAAGTTGAGAATCCCTAAGTTAGCCCATCTGCTTTGTCATAAACTCTTTATTTAGCAAGGCAAGAGGAGCCTTAACTGTGTTTTAACATCTTTTTTTTAAAAACCTAAATGGAATGTGCTACTGTGTAATAATCTTGGTTGTATAGCTCTGTCCCTTCTGCTGGTTTGTAATCATCTTGAGTGTGTTTCTTATTTGTATGTCTCCACTGCCTAGCATAGTGCCTGGGATACTGTATAAACAATTGGTTAATGTTTATTGGATTAAATCTTAGAATACTTTATTGCATGTGTGTGTGTGTGTGTGTGTGTGTGTGTGTGTGTGTGTGTGTGTGTGTGTGAGAGAGAGAGAGAGAGAGAGAGAGAGAGAGAGAGAGAGAGAGAGAAGGAGGGAGAAGGAGAAAATTATAATATAATTGCATTTCTTTAATGAAGTGCTTGCTTAAAATGTCTTTCCTTTTCTACAGGTGATGTCTCTCCTATCAGCATGTCTCCTATCAGTCAATCTCAGTTTATTCCACTTGGGGAAATCCTTTGCTTGGCCATCTCAGCAATGAACTCTGCAAGAAAACCTGTCACACCTGAAGCATTGATGGAACACCTGACTACTTGTTTTCCAGGTAAGAGAAGTGTCATGTAGCCCTTATCCAGTGGTTTGCCTAGGACTTCAGAGTCATTCTTTCTGAGTGTACACAGAGCAGCAATAAACCCTTATCTAAAGCAACTACAGAATTAAGGGAGCTGTCTTACTTAAAAAAAGAAAAAACAAACCAAACTACCTCCTTCAACCAAACAGCCACTGTTTTAAAATGGCGGTTAAGCAAAGGTATTCAATTATGGCTCATGCAAACCAATGGATTATTCCAATTTCTTGGTTAGATTCTTGAATACAGTGATTTAAGAGCCCTGACCAGGAAATAAGTGAATAACTTTTAGTTCCTAAGGTTCTAAATTGTATAAGAAGATATGCCTAAAATAAATACATGTGCCTAGCAATTTATCTTTATCACCTAATTTGGACTTTAGTAACTTGAGATTTAGTTATTTGAGAATTAATAAAAAATAATAGATATATAAAAAATTCCAGGAAGTATTTGTTTTCCAACTACACCTGTGTTTTTTTTTGTTCATGAGTTTCTTTTTTTTAATTAATTAATTAATTTTGATTTATCAACAATCACTTCCATATGCTTTTGAGTTTAAAATTTTTCTCCCCCTTCCTCCCCACCACCCTCCCCAAGCATGAGTTTCTTAAGAGACACCATAGGCTCTAAGTTTGCTTAGGGGTAAAGAGGATAGTATTTGCCCAACCAATTACATATAACTATTATGTTTCTACAAAGACGTTGAAAAAAGTTAGGTCTCTCAGATTCCAAGTCATTTAATGAATTTCTTTATTATTTTCCAGTCTGCTTAGGTTTATCATTTCAGGGGTCAAGCTTCAACTCTTCTCTCACTCATCCCACATAGACTGCCAAACCTTTTTGTTCCTATAGCTACAATATCTCTTGTATATGTCCCTTTGACTGGCCCTCTTAACAGCAGCCACTGTGTTACATCACCTCTTACCTGCCTCTCAATTGATCTCCAGGCCTCAAATCTCTCTTCACTCTAGCTCGTCTTCCACACACCTGCCAAAATGATTTTCCTAAGATGTGGATCTAACCAGGAAATGAACTCCCTATGTCATGTTTACTTAATATTCCAAATTCTTCATATCCCAGTTCTTCCCTTCCATTCCATATGTGTAGGACCTTACTGCCTTTTGGCCATGCTGGCCTATTATACCTCCAACAAATTTCTTCTCTCTATGCCTTTGCAATGGATGTCCCCCCATGCCTGGAGTGCCCTTCCTCCTCACCAAGTCTCTTGGAATCTCTGGTTTCCTTCAAGACTCAGTTCTGATGTCCTTTTCTGCTGGAAGACTTTCCTTCTTTCTTCTTCCTGCTTGTGACCTTCCCTCTGAGATTACCTGTATTATGGTGGGTGTGGTTTGTCCTTTGTTCTTGAAGAGGACCATGACATCAGGGAGGTGATGACATGACTTGCAATTGACTTTGATTTGATGAGGGAGGGCTGTGCAAAGTCACTAACCTCACTTTCTCCGCCAGAGCCATCTGGGTCCAGTGACCAGATATTCATCAGGACTACTGGAGATATGTTTATCTTGTAAATACCGAAGTTGGGTCATCTCTCCCATTAGAATATAAACTCCTTGAGAACAAACCTGTTAAGATTTTTGCCTTTGTATCCTTAGTGGCAGAAAGGAAGGAAGGAAACATTAAATGTCTACTATGTACCAGACACGAAGCAGTTTACAAATGTTATGTCATTTGATCCTCACAACCATCTTGGGAGGTAGGCACTGGTATAATCCCCATTTTACAATTGAGGAAACTGAGGCAGAGAGAGGTTAAGTAACTAGCTAGTAAGTGACTGAGGCAGGGTTTGAACTCAGGTCTTCCTGACTCTAGTTCCAGTGCTTCATCCACTGTCCTACCTACCTGTTAGACAGTTAATAAACAGATGCTTGTTAACTGATTTCTTACCCTTTCTTGCATGGAAAGGGAATAGACTAGTGATTTTCAATCTTCTAGCAGTTGTTTGATTTCAGGATTCTTCTGGCCCACAGAATTCAATTCAATAAGCATTTACTGTATTTCACTGCATAATTGTCGCCAACACATAATCGTCACACCCTGGTTTGTTTGGGTTTTTTTAGTCCAAAAATTGGTTTATAATCTTTCATCATATAAATCATCACATGGCATAATTCTATTCATCACACTGCTTAAAAGGTAAACAGAGCAGCAATATATTCACCAGTGGCATCTGGATGTGCATTTATCTCTTCAGCTGGGAGCCTAGAATTCTCAGTGCACATGCATTGTCAGAATTCAACTTTAATGTATATTCACCAGTATTCATGCATCCTAATCTTGCACCAAAGGCAGGGTAGTAATAGATGATTTTTAAGCAATACCGGCATAATTTTTTAAACTTCACATAATAGTTGCACCCCACTTTTTTTTTTTTTTCAAAAATGTTGGCATAAAATCTGCGACAATTATGCAGTGAAATACAGTAGGTTCCTACTCAGTGAAAGGCATTGTGCTAAGTTCTGGGGATACAATGAGCAAAGGACAAATACCCTCTGCTCTCAAGAAACTCCCGGTCTGCTGTGGTTAGGGTGTGTGTGTGTGTGTGTGTGTATACACATATATACACACATACACACATACGTATACACACACACATACACATATTATATATTTATGTTCATATATACACAAGATGCTTTTAACAACTAGAAACATTAAGAAAGGATTCCTATAGGAGGTAAGCCTTGAAGTAGACTGAAGATTTTAAGAGGCTGAATGAGAATGGCATTGCAGGTAAGAGGCAGGGGTGCGGGAGAGGAGAGGAGTAGTGTCAAAAATAAGTCAGCAATGGTAGGGGACAGACGGAATATGAGAATATGAAGGGCTTCAGACACCAAGCTGAAGAGCTTGTGTTTTATCCCAGAGAAAATAAGGAGCCACTGAAAATTCTTGAGCAGGATCTTTGACTAAACCTGTGCTTTAGAAAGTCCTTTTGGAAATTATATGGGAGATTATTTGGGATTGGGGTATGATTAGAAGCAAGAGCACAGATTAGGAGACTTCCAGTTGGACAGGGAGACACCTGAAAGGGGCAGGTGTAGGAGAGGTACGGATTTCATGGTGAGTGAGAGAAGCCCAAAAAGATGCATCTAGGGTTGCAAATTAGATGACCACAAGGGGACTTTGGAAAAGGGAGAGGTTTAGGGGTTAAAGAGGAGTTCCATTTTTGGACATGTTAAAGTGTACTGAATGAAATAGGGTTGTTTGTATTCTCAACCCTTAGCACAAGTGCTCTTTTCACAGGTACGTGCTTAATAAATGCTTTATTCATTCATTCATCTAAAAAATAGATTTGTTTTAAAGTCAGAGTGAGCTATTATATTTTTTGAAATAATTATTATGATGTGGACCACATTGGAACTCACCAAAGATGGTGATAAGAGCTGCCATTTCTATAATTCTTTGTGGTTTGCCAAATACTTGATATACATTATCTCATTTGATCGTCACAACATTAACTTTGTGAGGTAGATGAGATTATTACCCTTATTGTACAAGTGAAGAAATTGAAGCCGAGACAGGTGAAATAAGGTACTTAACCAAAGTAGTCACTCACTTCGCTGTGTGTAAGCCCACAACCAGTGAGTGGCTGAGTGTTTTATCCACAGGGCCCATCTCCCTCTGCTATCTCTGGGACATCTCAGAACTAAGGATTGGGATCCCTAATTTTGACTCTTTCTTACGTTGAAATAGAACACATGTTCATTCAACATACACCACAGCAAATTGAACCGGGCTGTTCATCTGTGGGAAGAGATAAGTAAGATATAGTCCCTGCTTTTAGAGGACTCAGTATAAAAAAACGAACTGATACTTGGGTATTTCCCAGTCCCTACTTAGAAGAGATTCTAGTGCATCAAAACATCTAATTGCACTTCCCCTTTCTTCCTCAAAGAAACTTTTTCCCCTTTCTGTCACTTATCATCATCATCATCATTATTATTATTATTATGAATGGGAATAGCAGAAAAAAATTAACATGAATAAAAGCATTGGCAAACCTCTATAACTTTCAGTTTATATAGTTTTCATATTTATGGAATTATTCAGTTTGGTTCACTCTTTATGTTGGAATTCCTCAGCTTCCTTTATTACCCTGACACTCGTCAAAGGGATTTGAAGGGGGTGGGAAAAAGAGAGGGAGGGAGGAGAGTGAGAGGGAAAGGGAGAGGGAAGAGAGATGAGGGGAAAGAGAGAGAGAGAAGGGGGGAAGAGAGAGGAAAAGAGCAGGAAGAAAGAGGGAAAGAAGAAAGGGAAGAGCACCTATAACACAAAGGACACCAGCAAAATGCATAATGTTGCTTACATATACTTTGTACCCTCAAGTCCTCTCCTCCCTATTCTTTCAATTTAGGCTAGATACCCTAGAAGTAGAAGGAAGCACAAAGATCACTTTTAGCTCTCTCACTTCGAGCATATTAAGTAAGCAACATTTTCCCTGCTTTGCACTCGTTCAGGCTAGATCTTGGCTTTCCAGAGCTCTGTTCTTCTCAAGCTAAAGAGAATCCCTCTCACTCTCTCCAAAGACCCCAAGGTTACCACTTAGTCAAAACAGTCCACTGTTATCAAACACTCTTATTTATCACATCTTACTCCCTCCTATACAAGGTCCAGCTCTCCAGGACTATATCTGTGCCTAATACAGGGAAGGGGGTAAGAGAGAAGAAAGGGAAATTAGGACCTTTTCTATACCCTAGGGCATGGAGAGGGGCAGAAGTATGGTGCCATATTTTCCCAATTCTCTTCCTTGCCCACATGTCGATTGGTTGATATACTGGCTTATATATTTTTCTATCTTTGAACGCTGGAGTGGCTCCTCTTCACCCTTTCCTTCTTGCCTATAATTTTTTTTTTAATTTTTAAAAACTTAACTGTCAGATAAACTTTGCCTTTTCAACTGGAACCTGGCTAAGATCTTAAATGCTTGATCTCTTGAGTAGTTTCTACATTGTTCACAA